CGCAAAATTGAAAACTGACGCGGATTACATCTTCCGAAACGTTTTATGTAGTTTTATAATTTGGACGATAAACAAAGACCAGTTTTACATATTATAACAGGCCATGGTCAGAAATTTTTATAATTTGAGTTTGAATTTTAGGGGTTTGTAAGGGAAACATTTGGGCGGAAGAGAAATTATGTAAATGTGTAATGGAGGATATTGATTAACCAGGAAATTCTTGTTTCGTACAGTTCAGTTAATGTCATTATAGATGCAGATTTAAAGAGTTTATGATCGGATTGGCATGAAATTCACACGAGGAAGTCAAGAGCAGAGAAATTTTGTGAGAAAGCGACCGGATAATATTAAAGTCGACTTTAAGGATCTGGTTTTGGTGATGTGAATTTTCGACTTTGCTCATTGTTGACTACAGTGGCGGCACATTTTTTCAGTGTCATTGAAACTTCGAGTTCTGATGTATTTTATTTAACGGCTGTTAACAAAGGATAGAATGTAATGCGTAGAGTGAATTTTTTAAAACATTCCTGTGCTTAGGTTCGCATATATTTGAAATACATTTGACGCTGAAGGTTTCTGTCCCTAGAAATCCCTCGTAAACTTAGGGTTAGCTGTGTTCTCTACAACGAACCGGTTTTGTCCCACTCAGAAGCTTAAGAAGATCGTTTGTGACGATCACTCCGTGAGGGTGTGTGGATTACCACACGATCGCTCTAAGAGACTTAATATTTTGTTTGTTAGAGACAACTTCATGAAGGTTCGTACTTTTAATTAAAGTGCTTATAGAGTGTTCTCTTTGTCCCAACAGAATTCCCGGATACCCGATTGGACAGTCCAGCCACCAGCCACGGTGAGTACAATATGATAATACTTGTGGTTACACTTATCAACCGGGTGTATTTTGAGGGCACTTAATTTCAAAGAATTATTTATTTGAACTTGAAAAAAAGAATTTTTTGGAAAATGTGTGTCAGCATTTAAGCACAGGTTGGATAATGAAGGTCCTTATCTTCTGCATTAGATGAAAATAAGTATCCTGCTTCACGCTATAGCTGATTTACCCTCTGTAACACTTGTTTTAGAGGCTGGATGGGCCCCAGTTTGGGTCTTGACGAGATGGTAGACAGAAAAGGTCTTCTGAAATTGGAGGTTGTGGTCGCAGTAGAAACTAGGGTTCAATCTGGCTTATGGTACTGTTGTTTGGTAGGTCCTCAGCCGAAAGTGCAGAAGACCATAATTCAAAAGAAACATACCTACTGTTCTAGGAAACAAATCATGGTTGTCGTACAAGAAATAGATGTTTTACTTAACATTTGGTAGTTGTAAGGACTTGCATACCAACCCATTTACCCACCCACGTGTCCCCCCCCCCCA